ACCAGTATCCGGGAATAAACTCCAGAGAATTCAAAGATTTTTTAAATGAAAACTCAATACACCTGGTTTTTACAGCAGTAAATGCACCATTTTCGAATGGTTTGAACGAGCGACTCAATCAAACTTTGATGAACAAAATACGGTGTAAAATGAACGAAAAAGGAAATGTAACTGCGTGGACAACAGTTGCTCACGACTGTGTTAATAAATATAACAATACTGAACACACAGTCACTGGTTTCACACCAGGATATTTATTGAATGGTTCAGATGATTCAGTGTTACCTAACGAATTAAAACTAGATAAAGCAATAGATGAATGGATCAAAGACAAAAAAATTGCATTTGAAAATTCAATGAAGTCTCATAACTATAATAAAATGAAATATGACAAGATAAGAACATATCATAACTTCAATACAGGTGACATGGTATATGTGGAAAACGGACACAAATTAAACAGAAAAAAACTGGATGAATTGATGATTGGACCTTTTGAAATAAAACAAAAAATTTCAAATTCTATATATAGAGTCAATACAGGTCACAAGAAGTTAGAATCAAATCTGTTCCACATCACAAAACTCATTCCAGTTCCTACATAGCTATGAAGTATAAAGATGAAAATAGTGATCCTGTGATGGCCGAAAAATTTTCTACGATGTGAAAATTTTCTTCCTGGGGAGGGGAGATATAAAGAAATAAGCTTTCTTTATTTATTTTCTACACGTCTCTGCCGGTAAAGAAGAAGTTTATTTAGAACGATGATAGATGGAGCTATCACCTCCATTGTTGCTTTTATCGGTAGAGACGGTAAAATAAAGGTTGTCAAATGGACATTTATGTCATAAGAAAAAATATACAAAATATTAATAATTTATTATACTTAAATATAATATGGGAATCGGGAAACATACCTAGTAATTATCTTTAAATGTCGTTTCTTTTGGTTACAGGTATGTTTGTATGTTTTATTGTGTGTATAGTTTAGTTAGATATTAATGTAAAATTTTAGTTTAAATAAATCTTTTGGTTACAGAAGCAACACATTGTGGTTATTTTGGTAGATTCCCAATAATTGGTCTTATATATATATAAAAGAAAGTCGTGTTAGTTACACTATTTATAACTCAAGAACGGCTTTATCGATTTGGATGACAATTGGTAGGGAGGTAGCTTAGAGTCAGGAGACGAACATAGGATACTTTTTAACCAATACTTATTTTTTACTTTTAACCGAAAATCAAGAACGGGTACGGGAAATATCGGGATTGCGAAAACCCAATTATACTTTGCCCGACCCTAGAATCGAACCCGATACCCCTTGCCCAGCAGTCGCACTTACGACCACTTGGCCAACGAGGTAGTATAGTTCAATGATTCATATTTATTTTTAAGTATATACTTATCCTTGCTTGGTGTAAAGTACCTCTATAATCTTTAATGGATTCTCAACTGTCATGAGTTTAAACAAGTTTATATATAAAAATAACGTTACATAATATCTATAGACATTATATTATGTTGAAATGTATATTATATAATGATTTAGAGGTCAATTGTTTAAAGGTTAACGATTCTAGTTAAGAAAATTAAAACAAGTAAATAATTGTATACGTGTTTTTGTTACCAACTAACACATACACAAATAATTTAGTTAATTTTAGTATTGTAATTAAATTAACGTAATGTAATTATACGTAATTGTTTTTGTATTATATTTGTTTTTGAATAGACTTAACAAGTTATTTAGACACAATTTTAATACTAGAGGCAAAAATAAGTTAGCTATAGGTACCGCAATTCAGACTGTCCAAGGTACAGAAATCCTTCATGGGGTTATATATTAAATGCTATAATAAAATACCAAGTAGCATACTAGATCTCAATGAAAGTAAATTTAAAACATATATTAAACACGAATTATGTAATCAAGCTTACTACACACTGACAGATTATTTATCTTGAAGATAAGAATGCTTGGCAGCATGTTGGTTCGGCTCCATTGGACAATACCCAAATGTAGTCAGTAGTTAGATTCCAATAGTAGGTAATTCAATACTTTCATTCTAATGTAGACAATCTATAGTTTCCTTATGGCATCGAGCATTTCTTTCTTTATTGAAACAATGAGTTTCCTTTCTCTTGTATAGAAGCAATATTTTTATTGGATTGTCAGTATGCCTATGTGAGCACCATGTTATATACATTTATCCTTCCTTACTAATATTATAAATGGGAAAGTGAGTTTGTTTGTTTGTTTGTTCCGCTTTCACGCCGTAACTTCTAAACCAATTGCTTTGAATTTTTGCAAACGTAAAGTTGAAGATGAAGAAGAAGAAAAATTTGATATTCGCGATCTCTCGAGAGTTTCGTTTTCCCAAACGAAATTATTGGTATAGATGGCGCTGTGTATTAGTATATGTCACATGGGCTACTTTTTATCCTTTTGTGACGCGAGCGAGGTCGCGAGTAAAAGCTAGTTATTTATAAACAAATTCTTTACCAACACTTGTAGCGCTTTTAAAATGTTCCCGCTTGCATTTTTCTCAAAACAATTTTCTAATTGCAAGTAACGCTGAGGTCAATAACGTGTGATTCACCATTAAAACTACATTATGAAACTTCTTATTAATTATAATCGCTTGATAATCAGACAGAACAACTTACTTTAGCCAAAAATTATCGAAATACTTCGCGCAATACAAAAACCAAAAAGTTAAATAATCTTTTTAAAACTTCATTTTGAGTGGTGGTCTTTAGTATAAAATAGAATAAATAATATATGATTCCCAAGCAAGGGGTATCAGTTTCCAATCCTGGGTAGGATAAAGTGTTATTGTGTTTTTTTGGCTTCTTGTTCTCTATAGAAGCACAGAGGCTGTACTGTGGTGTGTAAAATAGTTTCCCTTATTGCGTGGGAGTCATAAACTACCATTGTAAGTGTGCACAGTGCCCGCTTACTTCACTTGTTCCAGATCAAAATACGAGACTCAAGATCGCAATTACTTTTTATAATAATAACACTAATGGCTCCCATTTAAGTTACACAAAAATAATATCTAAATGTGGCCTAGACGTAATATGGCGTGCGACTTTTTACACTCCGCACGTCAATTGACATTGACGTGTCAGATTTTTGAAATATCAAGCAGCTAGACAGATTATAGTGGGTATCGTAACAACATACATAATGGAGATTATTTAATTTTAATTAACGCATTGTTTTATACTTAGATGTTTTGTCTAACGGATTTTAAATTTTCTTGAATTACTTAAGTTTCATATTTTAGGTTTTCCTTTTTTAATTTATTTAATGGGGTTTAACGTGATAATTAGACGATTCAATGACTTTGGAATTTTAGAAACTTTTATTGCATTTTGGATGAAGTTATTAAAGATCTTTAAATATTCAATTGGACGGCACTGCTACGAATCGACTTAACGGCCTTTAATTTATATGACAGCTAATAATTTATAGGCATGGAAGATTGGCATCGATTTTTTTTTCTGTTGGAGTTTGAGCCGAACTAGCGTAACGGTCAATCATGTACGCAGTTTGGGACTAAAACTAATCAATCAAATAAATGGAAGTGGTAAAACCCCTGAGAATTTCCGTAGTCTTCGAATAATCACCACGACATGAGTGTGGGAGGGACATGCTTCGCCACGAATGGTCTGGGTCGACTGGAGTAATATCACGGCCTCATTGAAAACCGACGTGAAACATCGCTTGTGTTGTATTTCATCGTGTTAGTGAGGTTACCGGAGGCGCATATACGCCCCCTCCTCCCCAGTCTCTCTAAGCCCCGCATTCCCTACAATCGTCAAATTCCTAATTCCCAAAAGGCCGGTAATGCATTTGTAACGCCTCTGATATTGCGAGTGTCCATGGGCGACGCCCATTGCTTACCATCAGGCGATCCGTCTGCTCGTTTACCGGCTTATTCCATAAAAATATCACAGTACATTTTATTCCACGAAGAATCGTATATCTTAAATCTAACATCACTTTTCACTGCTATAGAAAACTTCATCACATTTGCCAAGCACATTTTGAAGCTCCGTACTAGTTATTACTATGAGTATCGAAAGTCGAAAAGATCAATAATACTTTCTCCAACCCTTATATTCAATAAATTATTATGTTTTCGGCTTACTCACGTAGTGATTCGACGAGGAACTCGACTAGTTTTAAGCCAGTTGAGTAGCAGCGCGATAGTCGCCGCGTCGCGGTTCGCGAAATGCTGCTCATGAATATGAGCCTCTAGTATGGCTTGAAACTAGTCGAGTTCCTCGTCGAATCACTACGTGAGTAAGCCGAAAACATAATAATTTATTTAGTATGTCTCACGAAAGTTACAATACAAATATAGTAAACCTTATATTCAACTCAAAATGTCAGGTAATGGCGGTGGAGATCCATTTGGCCATTAAGACAAACTTCACACTATAAAATATTCACAATATTTCCTGAATGGTGTAGCCTGGGCGTCTTCGAGGTCCGAGTGAATAGATTGCTTTCGTGTGAGCATGCTCCGTCGTGAAAGTCATATCATTGCTTACCAAACGCACACTTGAAACTCCTTTTCAACCGACTTCTTTTATATATATTTGATGGGCCGACGTTTGACCACCATCTCGCCTGGTGGTAAGCGATGATGCGATCTACGATGGAGCACGTCGTCTCATAAGCAACCTATTCCCTTGCACCCTTCAGGAAACACAGACTCTTGCAAAGAATTCTACTGTTAAACTGTCAAACACCAAGCGGTCACCGGTGACCGCAACCTATTGTTCTATAATTGTGTCTACAAAACCGGTACTCGACGAGTTAAACAGTCTAAGGAGTAGAATTCTTTGCCGTGCGTGTGGGTGGGACATCTATCACGAATCGGTGACGCTTCGCCGAGTGTCTTGTGGTACGATGATGGAAATTATGACTCTAACTTTTTGACATATATCATACTACAGAGTACAACTACTGAAAGTGAGCTCACCTGTATGAAGTAGGGTACAAATCCACGAAGTACGACGAGATGATTCCGAAGACCATGGCGGTGGTGAGGAAGATGTAGAAGAGGACCAGCCCTGATATGGCTTCACCCGTGTTGTTGATGCCGACGCCTGCTGCTGCAGCTATCAGCAGGATAACGATGGTCATTGGCTGTTGAAAAAATTGAAAGAATATTTTATGTAACTTTTATTGTACACAAAATAAAAATACGGGTACCTTAAGTAGACTTATCACCATTTTCATCAACCTCCCCTAAGATAGTTTCTTAACTAAGAGTTACTTAGCGTGAGGGAGGACCTAAAGTTTAGGTTACACAGGTAAGCGATTAGTTTAGGACCTAAACTAATCGCTTACCCTTATGGTTAAGTGTTCCGTACGGGTTGATGAAAACCAAAATGTCATTAAGTGCTACCTGTCTTAGCATAGGGGCTTCTTAAGAAAGATTTCTGAAAATATCCATTAGCGTACTGACAGTAGAACTATGAGTGATCGTTTTTTTTAAATAAGTGCACTCTATCATTAAAATTAGGGTGCAGGTGGATCGCTTGATAGTTAGTGATCGGTACCGCCTATAGACACTACTGGAGTTCCAAGTGCGTTCTGGATATTTGCCGAGTCTCGAAAACCTATCAACCTTGAACGTCCTTATTTTGGACCATGGCATAACCTAACTTAATTTTTATAGAAGCCATATTATTTGATGGCCATTACTTAAGTCCAAATCATTAGCAAAACTCGTTTCAAGGTGACTTACCAATATAGGGTCAGTAGAACTAGTGACCAACCGGTCGTAGTTTGGGTTCGATTATAAATCTGCCTTGTAAAGTTTAAAGGTTGGAATAGTGAACTGGTTTAATAAATCATTCCTTGGGCTAGGTTTCGTAGTCTTTTGTAATCGGTATCGAAGTAGTTATAACATAACATATCATCGCGCCTTTTTATCCCCGAAGGGGTAGGCACAGGTGCACATTTCGGCACTTAATGCCACTGTACAGTGTAACACCCACTTTTCACTATTTATGTTATGAGTTCCATGTAATATGGGTGGTAGGTAGGGGGTGAGCCTATTGCCATATACCGGACACATTTCCAGACTCCATGCTACTGAGATTTTTAAAAACCTAGTAAACTTTGCCCGACCCGAGAATCGAAGCCAAGACCCCTTGCCCGGCAGTCGCACTTGCAACCGCTTGGCCAACGAGGCAGTCAAGTCAGTCGGCCAACGAAGTACTTATTGTAACCTAATATATGCACCCGTTTACTCCACTGAACTCGACTGATAAACTGCCTCGTTGTCCAAGTAGTCGTAAGTGCGACTGTTGGGTATGAGTTCTCGGGTCGATTACCGGGTTTGGCAAAATATTACTGGGTTAAAAAATCTCAGTAGTAGCACGAAGTAAGTCATATGACAATAGACTCACTTCCTATTACACGGGACTCATAACGTACCTCTATATAGTGAAAAGTGGATGTTACATTGTACAGTAGCATTAGGTGTCGTAATGGACACCTCTGCCTACCCTTTCGGGGATAAAGAGCGTGATGTTATGTTTATTTGTTACTCCACTGGAGATTTATAGAAGGCGTGATGTTTAGGTACTAAAAATTGGTGGTTGAGTTTTTCCTTGCAAATATTTTTTTCATATGCTCAATGTCGTGATTCAATCGGCATGGCTGTTATAGAGGTATGTATCTTCGTCACGAATTTGTAATTAATCAATTAACTACGCATAGGCCTACGTACCATTGAAAATAAATATGTTATCCTTGACCATAACAGAGCTTAGTGTTACACCTTTTTCCTTAAGAAGAATTTGCAGAGAATAAAGTCAAAAGTGAAAATCATTTATTTAAATTAGGAAGGCCCTTTTGAACGTCAACAAAAATATTTAAAAGTGACCATATTTGCTCATTCCAAGGTGTAGATTCCTATGGAGAAGAACGAGCAAAAAACTCCAATAAGATTATGTTAAAACACGGATGACAACCACTTTCCCGTACTTATAAGTACCACGTATTTATAAGTCCCACTTTACAAATAGAGCGTAAGCCAATCGCTCAAAATTATTTTTTCCTAATCGAAATATCTATCAAAGTAATCGAACCAAAGACCAGTACAGTACTATTTCTACATTACATTTCGTGGGACAAATTAACGGTTTGGTTGTGCTCATATATGTCTCATATTATAATTAATGAATTTAGGACTTGTACTGGTATGCGAATCTTTTCAACTATTAAAATGTCAATTAATATGTTACCTTTCTCTTTCCAGCAAACTGCGAGATGAGAGCATTGAGCAGGAAGAAGGACATGCCATGAGCACAGCCGGCCCAGATTGTGTTGTCCTCGATGCTGTTCTTGCAGCTGGTAGGCTCCTGGAAGAAGATCATTGTGAACCAGAGACCATAAGGTGGTACGATTTGATGGTGAGGATGCGAATTCGCAACGCAGAAAATTACGGTGCGACTTGCTGCGATGCAATTTCGTGCGACAAGGCGTCTCCCAGGGTGACCATTCCTTCGATGACCGTCAACCGTACTAAACGTATTTTAAATTGATAACTAGGTCGTGACATGGATCGTAAAAAGAAGTGTGCACTTCTGGAGATACAGGAAAAAGAAAAAAAGAAGATTTTGGGAAGATAAGATTTTGATGCATGATGCGAATCAATTCGCAAGTTCTTGCGATGCGTAGAGGGAACTCACACATTTTTGCGATGTGACGTCGCATCGCAGTTTTGTGTACGAGCCCTAAGCTAACTGCTTTATACATTTTATGATCGATTGACTAAGTCCGAAAGAAATCCTCTCGCGAAATACTAGCATAAATTGGAGGCATAGTGTAACAGCGGTTCGTCCAGAAAGAGTGAGTCCTGGATGCTCAACCCTTTGTTTGGTTACACCATCATTTTGGATAGCCCTTCTCCTCCGTGTAAACAGTTTTCTATATGGTCAGATATGGATTTGTTAGGCTACGGTATCCTAGGCTATGTCACCAATTAAATAATGAACTGACCATCTCCACATCACTAGTGGTGGTATTGCTGAGATGGAATAAGTCACAGAAGGAGGCATCAGCTGCACTGGTGGCGTACGATGTGAAGAATATGTTGAAGATCGTCGGCAGGATGATGGCGAAGCTGTTGTTACTGGAAAAGAAATATAATGATTAGAAAGATTGTTCATTTAAAATTATTATATAACTTTAAAGATTGAGTTTAAAAAAAAAACCCTTTGGAACGAACAATGGAATCTTCGCAAAAAGACCGATAGATAATTTGAAATGGAGATCTAATTAATATAAAGGACTTTGAAGCTCAATAACTAGAAAATAAGTGGTAGACTTACTTCTACTACGAGAGGCTCTAATAATAATAATAATTGCTTCGCCACGCGGCACTGTAGCAACTATGTAATAGATCCATTATATTACATTATTAAATATATTCAATTAAAAAAAAGTGTAATAAACTTACGCGATATAAGTGACAAAGGTGAGGTAGTACAGCAAGGCAGTCTTCCATAGCAGAGGGGGTTTGAAGAGGGGCGCTATCTGAGTCCAGAGGGAGTGGAGGGAGAACACTCCAACTTCCTCTTTGTTACCGTCCTCGAGGTAGATTTGTTTCACCTAGAAATAAGAAGTATTATTTGTTTTAACTTTAATCAAATTATTTTATTATTAATGTTGGACATACAATACAATGGGCTTATTTATAACTAACTAACTAACAGGGTTAACTAGTGAAAAGCGAATATTAGGTTAAAATAATATTAGTCTATTTACCCCAATGAGTACCTGTAGTAATTATAGTGTTTTATGCATTAATTCTTAATGTACGATTATGAAAAATGTACAACAATTGGTTATACAGAAGTAGCCTCTAAATGTCGGAAATAAAATCTATAATGGTGTATAGTGGAGAGCGGTCACCGGTGCTCACTTAGATCTTGGATATTACGTTAAATATATTTATAGTCTCCATTTTCCCCGCTGAGTACCTAATTACAAATAGTGATTTGATACATTAATTGCAGCCACATGAAACTATATTCGGACTAAGAGAAGTGTAAAATTTACATGTTTGCAAGTTGTTCATAAGGGCGTAATTGCTATTTAATACAATCAGGCACCAAAATAAATAACTCGTATAACTTCATAAATCACCTAGTTCTGCGTATCCCAACCACAACACAGGCAAGAATTATAGTGGGGTTTAAAAAAAGATAAACTTACAGGAAACTCATCCCCGTCATGTCCATTAGCCACGTAGATCCTCTTCAGCACCTTAACAGCCTCCTCATTTCTCCCCACATTGGCCAGGAACTTGGGACTCTCGCTGAAGTACCACAGGAGGAGGGCACTAAGTCCCAGAGGTAGTGCCATGATAAGGGTCAGGAGACGCCAGGGTCGGTACTCGATGCCGAGGAGGTAGTAGGTGAAGTCCAGCTTCATTATGAGGTAGGCGGTTACTGGTAGAAGGAATTTCATAAAATGAGAATTACATTTTTTCTACGGCAAATCAATTACAACCAATTGGGATAGGCAGAAGTGCTCTTCGCTTACGGCACTTAACACCACTGTATAATGTGTAATAGGGGGTGAGCTTTATGATGGCATAAAGCTGAGTCTGGAATTGTGCCCGGTATATGGATACCGGGCACAAATCCAGACTCCGCTCTACTACTGAGCATTAAAACGAAAACTATTATGAAATCTAGTAAAACAGGCAAACAATTCTACAATTCAGGGTGAAATATAGTGGATGAGGTTTCAGTTCTACTTTAGGGCAGAATGTAATTTTAGTGGAGTTGAAGCTAAGCAAGTGTGTACTTTCTTGTTTATTAAAATATTTTTGTAAATTTATGTATCACACAACGAGTTGCTCCGTGCGGGAATCGAACTCGCTACACGTTGCATGGCAGCCGGTTGCTCAGCCACCGCGCGAACTGTGCAGGAAAAAATAGTGTGTATATTACTATATTATTATCTAACTAGCGACCCGCCCCGGCTTCGCACGGGTGCAATATGTATATACATACAAACCTTCCTTAAGAATCACTCTATCTATTAAAAAAAACCGCATCAAAATCCGTTGCGTAGTTTTAAAGATCTAAGCATACATACGGACATACAGCGAAAGCGACTTTGTTTTATACTATGTATTGATGATCATCAGATCTTCCTTTAGATTCATGTCAACTAATTAAATTATATTATTAGACTGATGTGGCATAATAAACCGACTAATTATCTTACTATCTACTTTCGACTTGATTACTTACTATAATACAGGGTAGGTGTAATCATCAGTGCGCTGGTGATGAGCAGCATGTACTTGGCTCTGACCTTCACGCCGCAGCACTCTCCAATTAGGGCGTAAGTAGCCGACTCCGCTGCACTTGACCTGGCGGAAGGGTAAGTAAACAAAAATAGAAATGACCTAAATCTTCCTCAAGACTTTTATTACGACTTTAGTAGTCGTACGTAGTAGTCCATGTTCTATGTCAAAATGTTGTAAAGTGGTTTTAAAAGAAACAATTAGGTTCAGTTGCATCAGTGAATAAATGTTTAGGCAATACATTCATTACGAAAATGTTGAATTTCCAATCTTTACATTGAATGGTCGTTATTTTATGTATGAATTTTCTTAATGCATTTAACTAGGTACTCATTTTTCACCACCATCGATATCTCAATCAGAAACAAGTAAAAGATTAAAATTGAAGTTATTGCTATGAAAAATTATTTAGGCGCTGTCACTCAAACATCATACTCACAATGCTGAACTAATAAACCTAAGAGCTGCCAGCACCTGCCAGGATGGAGACAGGCTGCTGATGGCTGAGCTGATGAAGCTACCGCTCATAGCCCACATCAGCACCAGTCTCCTGCCCCTCGTGTCAGACAGGTAACCCCAAGGGTACGACATCACTATTATACCTGGTAAATAGGATTCTTTTTAATAATTCGCGCTCCATAAACAAGTCAAATGGTAATAGTAATTAGAGAAGACGAAATAAATAAATAGGTTCATCGTTTTCTTTAGTAATTTTACGACATACCTACAAGAATCAAGACAACAATAAGCTCATAAGTAATCTTGCAAGAATCTCGATTACAATTTTCATTATTATTTTAACCTAGGTGATTTAAGTCTACCATTATTCTAAAGGTACTGTTTCAAAGTTACGACTTTTCGGCAGTTACGATTGCCTTGTTGGTCGAATGGTCGTAAAAGCGACTGCCGGGCAAGGGGTATCGGATTCGATTCCCGGGTCGGGCAAAGTATAATTGGGTTTTAATAAAAATTCTCAGTAGTAGCACGGAGTCTGAAATTGTGCCCGGTATATGGCATAAAGCTCACCCCCTATTACATGGGACTCATAACATAAATAGTGAAAAGCGGGTGTTACCTTGTACAGTGGTGTTAAGTGCCGTAAGCAAAGTGCACCTCTGCCTATCCCATAGGCTCACCCCCTATTACACGGGACTCATAGCATAAGTAGTGAAAGGGGGTTTTACATTGTACAGTAGCATAATGTGCACCTCTGCATACTCCTTCGGGGATAAAAGGCGTGATGTTATGTATGTATAGGTACTGTTTCAAAATCACAAGCTTTCACTACTTTTGTATCGTCGTGTCATCGTGTCATTCACAAGATATCCACTGCTGCATATGTGCCTCCCTCAAAGACTTGCAGATCAACTAATTGGTAGCGATAAACATCCAGCGAAACCCTGCGACCCTTCTCAGGTCGTCAGTGGTTTTAATAGACGTTGTCATTATTATTGAATATCTGATACTTACCAGCAAAAGACATAGACGACAGGATTCCAATCTGGCTAAGGGTCAGGTTGAGGTCACAGGTGGAGGCAGTCACGATGATGCCCAGCCCGAAGATGTCAATGCCCATGGCGATGATCAGCACGAAGCAGGTTATGAGCAAACCGTAGTTGTACTTCCCATGTCCTGCAGAGGAGAGACGAATTAGGGCATGGTTTCAGGAATCTATTTACTGTTCTGATCTACAATTAGTCGTCAAACTCTTATCAGTCAGATGCCTTATGAGAACAATGGTATTTTAAAACGCAATAGGCCATTGCCGCACTGTCCACTCAAAGCATGTGTTTCCTTTTAGCCTTTTTAACCGGCTTCAAAAAAGACGGAGGTTCTCAGTTCGACCTAAGTATTTGTATGTATGTATGTATGTTTGTGAGCAATTATCTAGCAATTAGCTGAACCAATTATGATGCAGTTTTTAGAAAAGTGTTTGTTAACACTTCGGAAAGGGTTTTAGTATGCTAACCTCAAGAAAGAGAGAGAGACTTCAAGAAAGAGGGGCTTGCAGTCGGTTTTTTAACAAAGTCCATGAAATGATTATTTTATACATAAACATTGTCTTGAAGCCTTATGGCGAGAGGATTAGATTGTTTTAGAAAAGTATTAACTTATTCATAGATTAGATTTTCGAATTTTCGGTAATAATCACGGAGTATGGAATTGAAGTTGTGCACGAGAAAGATTGTGTTTTGTGTCTTACAACGTTAAGACGTTACATTAGATCTGATATCTGCGACGTAATTACTTAACTCGTCGAGTACCGTCATTATAGACACAATTATAGAACAATAGGTTGCGGTCACCGGTGACCGCTTGGTGTTTGACAGTTTAATAGTACATAAAGTCGATGACATATGTATATCTCAAACAATAACATACATAAACTTGTCACAAATTAATTTCTTCTGTCTTTTATAATACCTACATGATTTGATATAATGACAGGATGACGCTAGTGTTCACAATGGACAGATTCTGTTGTTTATGCAAATTTTTTGTAAATGTTAACAAAATTAGCAAGTATGGGAGAGCCATGCTTCCACACGAATGGGCCGGCTCGACCGGAGTGATACCACGACCCCACAGAAGACCGACGAGAAACAACGCTTACGTTGTCTCTGGTCGTGTGAGTGGGGTTACTGGTGGCGCAATTACCCCACTCCCCAATCTTCCCAATCCCCGAATACCCAACAATCCTCAAATTAATCCCCAAAAGGCTTGTAGCGCACTTGTAACGCCTCTGGTGTTTAAAGTGTCGCTTACCATCCGGCGATCCGTCTGCTCGTTTACCGCCTTATCCATTAAAAATAGATCAATGATTCATTTTAAAAATGGCAGATTAAAGTTAAAGTTATGACGTCATTACATGATTTTTGTGTCCTAGACATAACTAGAAGGTCATATTTAGGTAACTACAAGTGCAAAACAAATATTGATTGTACTAAATATTGTGTGTTTTATAAAACCAAGTTGTCCAAATTGTGGTCATATTCCAAGAAATTTAGTACATCGTCATTTGTGTGCACTAAGATCTAGTGTCAAGCGCGACTGCTGGGCCTGCGGACGGCGAGCATGAGTGGCTCACCGCCCGACCAGAACCAAACCCGAACGAGCAGAGCGTTCCACGCGCGCCTCTAAGAGCCATAAGACCACCACGGATGGGGCCCAATAGGGCTGATGCCGATTCGGAGCCGCGGAGAACCTAACGGATTACCGAGGCTCTGGCTCGAAGAGCAGGAGTAGGATAGGGTGGTTTTTAGTCGGTAAGAGTCTGACACTCCCTCCCGCCTAACCCAGGCGGGATAAGTGATTCGATGATTTCCCCCCCTTAAAAAAACCTAGTATTACATGGGACTCATAACATAAATAGTGAAGCGTAGATGTTACATTGTTGCATTAAGTGCTGTAATGTGCACCTCTGCCTACCCCTGCGGGAGTAAAAGGCGTGATGTTATATAATAATATGCCTCAGCTACAATCAGTGACGGAAGCAATATAATAAATCGTCGACAAGGCTAATTGACAATAGTTTTAAAGTCAATAACATTTGAAAAAGATACAAAATAGTTACTTGTATAGTTTGTATTGTAAATTGTAATGTTTATGGCAAGATGGCAGCCTTGGCACATTAGGCATGGCTCGGTTGGCCGTGTTTGGCATTGCTAAGTAGATTAAATAAAAGGTTTTTTGTTAAACGACTAAATTATAGTTAATGAAGAGTGAAGAAGATAGCAATTGTTGTACTATGGTTGTTGTTCTCGTTGTATTTGACATTGCAAACATAGTACTTGTCTTAATTTTATTTTATTATTTATTTGTAGGGTGATTTTAATAAACGATCAAAATCGCGATGGCTGAGTCAGAGACCCGGGCGGGGCAAAGAACCATCGGGTTTATTGATTTTCGAATATTTCAGTTATTACGGAAAACGGGTATCTGCCCTATTAACCTATGTAAGTACCTATGTATACTTATAAATATGTAGAGCCTTTAAAGACTGAGGCTAATAACATAACTTAATTATTATATTTTTCGGCTTACTCATATAATTATTTGACGAGGAACTCGACTAGTTTCAAGCCATACTGGAGGCTCATAACAATTACGAGAGAAAGCCGAAAACACAATAATTTATTTAGTATGTAACATAACATAACATCACGCATTTTTGTCCCCGAAGGGGTAGGCAGAGGTGCACATTACGGCACTTAATGCCACTGTACAATATAACACCCACTTTTCACTATTTATGTTATGAGTCCCATGTAATAGGGGGTGAACCTATTGCCACATACCGGGCACAATTCCAGACTCCGTGCTGCTACTGAGATTTTTATAAAATCTCAGTAACATTTTGCTCGACCTGGGAATCGAACCCGAGACCCCTTGACTGGCAGTCGCACTTGCGACCACACGGCCAACGAGGCAGTAATTTAGTATGTCTATGGTTAAAAGTTGAAGTTTTAAATATTTTAAATTTAAATTATAGGTGATATGATATATCCAGTATTGTCTACCACTTCGGGGATTAAAATGTAAGTTACACATCTGTTACAACGTGAGTATTAAATAAAAGAATTAATTAACTACAATTCTAGTTTCAATTTGTAAATATTCTAGTTTTTAGAAACAAAAACTGGTTTAATTTGCATTTCGCCCAACATCAGCGCTCACGAACCAGGTACCTACATAGTAGTGCAGGTAATGCCCCTCAATAATTACAAAATATATAATACTAGCAGCCCGTCCCGGCTTCGCACGGGGTAGATAATAGTTTATTTTTGGAAATTTGGATTGTTGTAGTGACATAACTACAATAGTTGGACATATGCTACCGCGGAGTTTTTTGTAGACATTATGATGTTCTTCAATATTGTTGTACATTATTTTGTTCTATCGCTAATAGTTTCGGCAGCGTATTCCTCTTTCCTCTTTATAATATTAGTATAGATATTATGAAGAATAACTACCTAGTATGAGTAATAAAATGAGTAGTTTTGCTATGAGAAAATAAATAAAAATCTGCCTCGTTGGTTGAGAGGTCGCAAGTGCGACTGTCAGGCAAGGGGTCTCGAGTGCGATTCCCGGGTCAGAACAAAGAATTACTGAGTGTTCAAAAAAATCTCAGTAGTAGCACGGAGTCTGGAATTGTGCCCGGTATATGGCTATAGGCTCACCCCCTATTACTTGGGACTCATAACATACATAGTGAAAAGTGGGTGTGTTGTTGTTACAGTGGCATTAACTCGTCGAGTACCGGTTTTGTAGACACAATTATAGAACAATAGGTTGCAGTCACCGGTGACCGCTTGGTGTTTGACAGTTTAAATGCCATAATGTGCACGCTCTGCCTACCCCTTCGGGGATAAAAGGCGTGATGTTATGTTATTGTAAAAAAACAAAACTCAAATTAAACATTGATTTGAGTTTTGTTTCTTGGGAATCATGTGTGTGAACTAATGTTTTGTTTTTGTTTTCTTTCTCTCAGATTTATGAGTACCGCTTTATAATGATTATTGATTAAAATAACAATTGCTAATGGTCCGTGATCATCGCTTCATCTCGTGTCTAACACGCTGACAAAACTGTATTTGTGTCTATTTTCACACTTGTTTCATACAATTTGTATGACTAATTACATACATATTTGTCCATATATATGCTATTTTGACTATTAGAATTAAATTTAAATTTTATAGTAGAGAAATAAGGTTGAAAGTTGTTTAAAAAAACTTTAAATTCTGGGGTTTATTTAAGCGCTGAATTCTACGGTAGCATGTTAGTCAATTGTTTAAATATTTGACATAAATTATGACGTTTTAGTTTGTGGCTTTTATGAAGGATTATATGCGGTATGGCGATGTTTGTTGTGCAAAAGGACGCTGAGGCAAGGACGATGGTGTTTGATAGAGTTAAAATATTTGTGGTTTAAAATATGTACTTGGAGGATAGGGCGCAAATGATCTGACGAATCTTTTAAATTAGCCTTACTTTAAGTAACTATCAGGGACGAAAGATAACCAGGACGTTGCTGGACTAAGCCTACTTTAGTCCACTCTTTTTTGCGCAAAGGTTTATTTATTAGTATCATACATTGGGACGACACGTTGGGAAGACGACATTAAGAAAATAGCGGGCCCTCAGTGGACTACAGTAGCACAGGATAAAGAAAAATGGAATGCTTTGGAGGAGGCCTTTACCCAATAGGGGTTCTTACAGGATGCAAACTAACCAACACCAACAATTAATTAGCTTTAACATTTTTATTTAAACTAACAATAGTACCTAACAGCAAAAATAAAATGTAAAATTATCTGTAAGAAATAAAGGGCTTATTTATTTATTTATTTACTATACATTTAGTAAGTTTAGCATTCATTGTGTCTACACCTGTGACGTTTGTATCTGTTGAATCACGGACGGGTGGGATACATACTAATGAGAGATCACTTTCATAACACTTATTAACATACATATAAGGTTGTTTATTGTGTTGCCACATACATATATGAAGAAATGGATTAGCAATACGGATATGTGTATGAAGATTTGATCTGAAATTATAAAATTATACAGAGTCGTATCTGTATCCTTTTCCACTGTTTCAATAAATAAATAACTTGTGTTTT